CGAGCTCCAGGAGCCAGTCACTTACTTGATGTCCTCCCACACCTCCGGGCCGTAATTGCGGATCACCAGCAGCTCCAGCGCGTGGTTCACAAACCCGTACTGTGGGGACAGAGGGAAGCCTGCGCGTCAGGGACCGGCTGCCGATGGAAGAGGCGCGAGGGCGAGGCTGCCTTGACTGCCTCCCGGCTGCTTTAACTTTGGGTCCAACCTATTCGGGGTGCTCGCCGCTAAAGAGGGGTGCCTCTGGGTCGCCACCCACGCCACCAATAGGGGGCAGATCCTCTCCATCACCGCCCACCCCACACCCGTGCCACCTCCTTACCGCCGCTCACCTGTCACGGCCAGGAGGCAGGCTGGGCAGCGGGGAAGCATGGCAGAGGGGACGGAGCCCTGCACCCCCCCACACCACGGCTCTCAGCCTCCCTCACCCGCAGGGCCCGCCTGAGCCGGGAAAGCGCCGCGTCTCGGCTGCACGGCCCCTTCCCGGGCTCGGGAAAGCACGGCGGACCCCCTTGGAAGCAAAGGCACCCATGGCCCCCGCCGCGATCCCCCCCCGCCCCCCGCGCCGCCGCCGGCGTTCCCATCTCCTCTGCTCCGGACGCGGGCAAACTGCGAGGCTGCTCCCGCGACAAGCGGTGCGCTCCCCGGGCCCCAGCGCCAAGCTCCGGCGGCGCGGTCGGTTCGCTTGGGCTTCCAGGCCCGGTCCAGCTGCCGTTTGTGGGTTCGGCCTGAGCCGGCTGAGAGCACTCACCATGGTGTCTGCGCCCGGGGTGGGGGAGGATGCCCCCGCGGAGAGTCACGGCCGTAGGGACCCAGGCGACGGAGGCGACAGCGCAACAGGACCCCAGCGGCAGCATAGAACTGGAATGAGCGCAGTGGTCTCGGTCCGCCTTGATTGCCACCTCTTCCCGGCCAATAGCGAGTCGAGCCGCAGGGGGCTGGCCGCTGCCTCCTAGTTTTCAACCAATCGACGGCAGAGGAGGGAATTCAGATGCTGTCACTACTGCTGCGCTCCAGGTCTTCCCGCCCCCGCCCTAGCGACAAGGCTTTCATTCGAGGCCACAACAATGACGATGGAGAAGCTCCAGTTTTGCTCCTTGCATGAATTTTGGGGCAGGAAGAATGCAACTATTGTAGTCCCCCCAAATATATTCTTATCCAAAGATCTACCCGCAGAGGTAGCAAAAACTGAGTAGAGGGGTGTGTGTGTGTGTGTGTGTGTGTGTGTGTGTGTGTTTATCTTGCCATGCACAAGCCTTAAAAGGAATAAGCCCTCGTGGTCAGCATCCTTCTTGTTTAATGTCATCTTGCAGATAAATATTTCCTTTGTGGCTTGGTCCTGCAACAGTCTATGGTACACTGGAAGCTAATAATACTGAGCTTCACACATTTTGCTTTCAGTCAATGGGACTAGTTGGGTGAGTTAGCTAAAATTTTCAGCAATGTAGCTTACTGAGTGTGGTGTCAAAAGAAACTCTGCCCGTTACTAAACTTCTCTACAGATCCAGTAATGATCTGTGCTTGCTCCTGGTGGGATGCCTGATCCCATATCATGGCCAGGAACCATGAATCCAAAGTTTTTAACTGTCCAGAATTTGGTCTCTGTTGTTGTTTCTCAGAGCTAAGTGATGAAATGTAAAAGGCCCAGTACACAATGAGTAGACTTTTAATTAATCTAACCCCAGTCTATAATCTACGAGGCATTTGAACTAGTTAATGCTCTGAGCCTCACCACAGGGATAAGAAGGAACTGTCTGATGATTAAAACTCTGTGCTTGGGGCACATGGACTCGATTGACGAGGGTGAGGTGAAAAGTGAGGAAGGGAAGGCAAGCATTGCTTCCAGATCACAAGGGTCGAGTGGACCTGAGAAGCCAAGATGATATTCTATGATATGAGTAGTTTGCTGTGAGAACAGTTTCAACATGGTGAGAGAAAAGGTCAAACCTATAAAACTGCTAGCATCCATACCCAGGGACCTATCTTGAGGCATAATTGGTTCAGAAATAATTACATAGGAAACAAATAAAACAGTGACAAATAATAAAAGTACTAATGTTGAATAGTAAATTATAAATTTACAATGACAAATAATAAAACTATCAATGGTGAAATTATAAAATAAATTAGAATCTTTCATACCATGGAACACTTTACTTTGTACAAATATTAAAATATTAAACCATTATGAATATTAGCTGTTAATTTTAATTATTAAAATAGCCCATTGCTCTATAGAGCCATAAAAACACTAGATACAAAATGATACAGAAAGAGAAACTGACAGGAGAAACATTGATTGGTTGTCTCTCATACCTACAGCCTAGGTATGTGCCCTGTCAGGGAATTGAGTCCATTACCTTTCAGTGTATGAGAGACACTTCAACCAAATGAGTCACAGCAGTCAGGGCAACCCTCAATTTTTTAATGGTTATACAGAATAAGGTGTCATTTGGATAACAAGAACACATATACGTACACATTGCTATAAAAATGCATAGGAAATTTTTTTATCTCTGTTGTTTGTAATTAAAACCAGTGGTTGCCCTAGTTGGTTTGACTCAGTGGATAGACCATCAGCCTGGGTTTGATTCTGGTCAAGGGCACATGCCCAGGTTGCAGGCTCGATCCCCAGTAGGGGGCGTGCAGGAGGCAGCTGATCAATGATTCTCTTGCATCATTGATGTTTCTATCTCTCTCTTCCTCTCCATTCTTTTCTCTGAATAAAGTAAAAATATATAAAATAAAATAAAAAACAGTGGCTGAAGGGACCAAGGCTTTTACTTTTTGCATTATGACCTTCTGTATCTTTTGATTGTTTTCTATTCACAGGTAATAATTTTTTTAACTTGTTAAAAAGACTTTTTCTCATTTCTCGACCTGTCTTCCTTTGAACAGCAGTAGAGTGAGCTGTGGTGTCCTGAACTTTAGACTCTTGATAGGTAAAAACAGGGAAAATAATTGCTCTCTAGTGATGAAAATGAAGGAAGTTCACCTTGAGAAAGATGAGAGCAAAAATGAAGAATGAGCACCCTGCCAACTTTTTTTCTATCTCTGAAGTTCTAACTTCTACCATCACTGTTCTTTTTTGACCAGTAACTCTTTGAGCATATCGCCCTTTTGTCCAACACCTACATGCATTTGTAAAGATGTTACACTGTGTGTGTTTTTTCTAACTGTCTTATATTCACTCAGAATCTCAAGGAAGGTCTATTCACTAAAACTTTGCCAATTTTTGTTTGGCCCACAAGATACTACAAAGGATTTGCCGATCAGGGAGAGAGGTAGGCCACCAGCCATGGAAGAACCCAAAACAGGTCACTATGCTTCTGTAAACGCCCTACCCATGGTCCCTACTGCTGACAATGAAGCATAGAAATCAGGTCATAAGTAGGTTATGCCATATTTTCAGAAACAATAAATTTCCCTTTTCTCTGTATGACCCAAGCTGAAGAGAATCAGGGAGGAAAAGGAGAAGCCTAGGGGATGGCTTAGCCAGCCATAGTGTCAACCCTAACTATTTGAAAACCAGTCCAATGCATAAAAATTAAATAAATCAAAAGGCATACATGGCTTTCAGAAATGTCCGCTGAAATGACTCACATTTTCAGCTAATAAAAATAAATTAGTAGCCTGGCCGGTGTGGTTCAGTGGTTCAGCATCGACCCATGAACCAGGAGGTCATGTTTCTTTCTGGTCAGGGTACATACTCGGGTTCGATCCCCAGTGGGGGGTGTGCAGAAGGCAGGCCATCGATAGTTCTCTCTTATCATTGATGTTTCTATTTCTCTCTCCCTCAACCTTTCTCTCTCTGAAATCAATAAAAACATATTAAAATAAATTAGTTGCGCGGTTTAAGTATTAAATACATATTTAATAAGATCTAATTTAGAATGCATTTTGATGGACCTTTAACTATGATTTCCGTTGTCTCTATATGATAGTTCTCCCACATGACAAAGAGCATCAAACTGACATACAAAAACAAAAAGACCTAAACTGGTTTAACCAGATTCAGTGAGCCTTTAATGATGCTTCACTTGAGAATCATCAATACCGTATTGAAAAGATTAGAGGGTAAAACAATATTCACTCCATTGGAATAATTCTAATGCTATTTAGTGGGGGTTTTAATGCCTTATTTCTAAATAACATTTGCAACTTACCAAGTACTTTCACACACTTTGTCCCCTTTTCATTATCTCATTGGTTATGAGGGAGATAGTGTTTTGCTCATCTTGGATGTGAGGGCCTGAGGCCCAGAGGAGTGAGGGATTCCTCACACATTACTAAGGGCCATCCTTTGACTCGTTGACCCTATTGCAGATCTTTGATCCCAAACCCATAACTCTTTCCTTAAATATAATTATTTCTCTTTATGTGTCTGACAGTTGGTGTTTAATGCCAAATAGAGTATACAAAAGTCAAAAGAATAGTTATCTACAACTTGATAACTATATAAATTGGGGATCGGGGGAACACATGATTTCCCTAAATTTCACTTTCCTATCCATAAAACAAATATAAATAGTAATTTTTATACCTCCTGTAAAACGGGTACATTACAAATAGTAACTTTTATAGCTTCTATAGGATTTTGGTAAGGATCAAATGAGTTAACATATATGTATGTATTTTATATAGAATACAATTTAATGCACATTGGTTTTACTATATTTATTATATGACTCTCTGTCTGAATTATATAAATTTTTAATATTCTTCATGTGAGAAAATACCATGAGGGAGAGGAGAAAATGCAATTCATAAGACTTCTGGTCTTTGGTCCTACAGTGGACAAGTTACTGAGCTCATCTAAACCTCTGAAAATAAGGCAATCGTGAAGATGAAATATGATGATATACGTCAATGATGTATTACAGTGCTTGACACATGGTAACTGCTCACCGATGTGAACTTGATAATCCATTTAAGAAATGTGTCTATAATAAGGTAAACAATCCATTTCATAGGTGCTGAGTTTGAGTTAAGATAATGCTTAACCCCCATACTGACAATGCAGAGAATATAAGCCATGGTTTCCCAATTCCTTCCTTTATTATCAGTCCAGACCCACAGGTTGGAGCCAAAGTCAGCAGAATGAAGCATCCCTTGATTTGCTCCATTCTATTATCCTAAGTGAATGAAAATCAAACCACCCTGGGTTATGTTTTTCTGTTCTACCTACCAAAGTAATGCACATTCATTTGACTGAACTGCTCTTATTTCTTTCTTCTTTGTACTCTGTTGCTTTCATTTTCATCCCTGGCAAGAAACCAATAAAAAACACCACAAATAATTGGCCATAATTCCCAAGGCTACTCAGACCTACATTTTGGGTCTGGCATGGAAATCTGTGGTTTTTTCCGGTCTAACCAAGAGTTTTCTCACATGAAAAAAAAAAATGGTACAGTAGAGTGAATTGAGTTAAAAAGTCCTGAGCTGTGATGTGGATCTTCTCACATATGTAACATGAGGTATGCTTTGGTAGACAGAATAAGTCTTCTCCCCAGCCCAAGGTGTCCATGTCCTAATCCCCAGAACCTGTGAATATGTTACCTTACTTGGCAAAAGGGATTTTGTACATGTGATTAAGCCAAAGATATGGGCTGAGCATCCTGGATTTTCTGGTAATCAGGAAGGAGATTATAAGAGAGAGGCAGGAGTGTCAAAGTCAGAGAAGGTGTCATATTAGAAGCAAAGGTGGGAGAGGTATAAGGAAGGCATCATGAGCCAAGGAATGCAGAAGGCCTGTAGATGCTGGGAAGGGCAAGAAAAAGGATTCTTCCTAGAGCCTCCAGAAGGAATGCAGCCCTGCTGACCTGGATTTTAGGACTTCTGACCTCTAGAAGTAGAAGGTAATAAATTTGTGTTCTTT